GTGTCCGGCGGAGGGTGTGATGTGCTGTGCCCTAGTCCTCGGCGGCACCCCTCCTTCGGGGGCGCGGGCTGAGCACCTGGCTAAATTCCACAGCATGTCTGTGAGGGAGCTGTGGAAAAGTCTCTGCAACCCGTTACACGGGACAGCCCCGTAAAGGTTTAGGTATGAAGTTAACTTTGTGTGAGAGACCGGTCCAGAAGCGTTCAACGCTAATGGCCTGAGAACCACAGCTGGTGTTCTTAGGAGAAAGCTCCCTGAGAGAGACTGCATGTTTTGGGGGAAAAAAGGGTGGAGAGGTAGGGAGCTCCAGCACACAGGAGACGTCGGCGTTGGGGAGGGCTGGGTGGAGGGCGGCTCGGTAAGGGTGGCTTCAGCTACCTTGCTACTGCTCTATTCCTAAAGCCAGGCCTCTCGCTTGCCAAAGAGTTTCTGCAACAGCACAGCCTATAGTGATTGTTGCATAAAGCTCTGATGTAAGAAAAATCTCTCTTCAATTGTTTGAGCCTCTTGTGTTATAACTACACAAGCTGGCTACTAGCCTAATGACTTTAGCAAATTGTGGCAGAATCAGAATCTCAGGTGATAAACTGTATAAGGAGGGGAGGTTTTAATGTGGAGTAGTGATGGTTCTAATACGGAGTGAACGGTGTGTCTCACTAGATGCTGTAATTTGTTCTCAAGATCCACACCAACAGCTACTTCTCAGTAGCCCAGACTGGAAGTCAATTATAGAATTCTGTTTAAATAAAGACTGTCTTTTTCTGAAATTGAATATGATGAATAAAAAGTTCATTTCATTTGGTAGAAATACTCAGTTAACATATACTAAAGCCTGTGGAAGGAATACAGGAATGAGCCGTATGTTTTTTGCTCTTTAAGGAGTGCTTTTATCATATACCAGCAAATTGCTTTTAAATCTTTGCAGATAAATGGACTATAAGAAAATTGCGGATGAAGTTTCAGAAAAAATTTTATCATACAGTCAAGATACTTCAGGATGGAGAGTGATAAAAGTTTCAGTAAGAAAATATTAGTTAATGTTTATAAAGTTCTTTTTATATTTTGTTGCAAAAAGTGTTTAAAGCTGTTTTCCTTAAAAAATTAGTTAACAACTCTTTATCAACTGCTAAGTTTTTATTTTTCCTTTTTCTACTTTGAGAAAAATGTTACAGTTTCTTCAAAGCCTTCAAAAGAGTATGCAGGAAATATGTAAGTATTTACATTTTGTTTGTCATTGTAATGAATAACAATATCTTTTTTGAACAGTGACACCCAAGATTGAAATGGAAAAGTTAACCATGTTCTGTCCTTCATGAAAGTGTTAAGTTTGTTTTGTTAGCTGTAGAGAAGATTTTGCATTGTAGTTACACTGGGTCAGCAGTAGGGCTGGAATACAAGAGTTGGATTTCCCAAGCAATTTTCAAATGTGTTATGAAAATTAAATACTATATAACACTTACTAATACAGAATAAGTAGATGTGGAGTCACCGTTTTGGCCTGAAGTGAGTGATTCTTCCTGGTGGAATATTCTATTCAAGCCATTACATCTTACAGCTGGGCTTTGCTTTTCATACTTGTGAAGTGACTGATACTCACACATGCAGACATGCTTACACTCTCGCTCTATGTTATCTGTCCTTTGTACCTTTTTCTTTCTGGCACCCGAAACTGAACTAACTGTACTGAGAATAAGAAGGTCATATAATCTCTGGGGCAGCAACTTCATCTGTCCTTCCTTCTCTTGAGCGATGAATTCTGTGCTGTCGTTAAGCAGCTAGATTTGGCCCAAAGGGTGGAGTTGGGTGAGGCAGACTGAGCTGATCTCACAGCTTCCTTTCACTGATGAGTTGGCACTACTCTTTACATTCCTCCTCTTCCCTACCCCTCTCCTGGCTCTGCAATCCTGCTTCTCATTTACGGTGGCTGTGGCACCCAGCTGACTGTTTACCAAGCTGATTCAGCTGATTAAACCAGGGAAAAGAAAAAAAATCTCACTGAGAAGTGTGCAAAAGCAGAGGAAAAATGGATGCTTGCAAGATGTCCTTAGTGCCCCCCCCCCCCCCTTTTTTTTTAATTAAAATGCCTAATGGGTATTAAATTATATTAAATGTCAATCTCGACAGATAGGCAGTAGAGAAAATTTACATCTGATTCTTTTTTGTTCTCAATATGATGAGATGTTTGTGATTAGTGGTATTCTAAATCCAAAAGTCTTGCTTGGTTTTCTAATTGTTTCTGAAGATTTGAGAAAAGAAGGTATTAATTACAGAAGACAATGCTAGATCACTAGTATTACAGAAGAATTACTCTATGGTATTATAATGGAAAATAGCTGTAATATTTCATTAGAATATGTTAAAGGTACTGTTATCTTATTAAGAATTTGTATACTTTGTATGTGGCATTATTATTGTATTTCAGATCTTATTTCAGTACAGGTGGATGTGAAGGAGTGAGAGTCTGATTGCTTAGAATTCATAAGAATGTGCCTGACTTTTTTCTGTGGCGGAAAAAAGATGTGCTACAGTCTCAATCGGGCATGAAGCCATTTTCAGTTGCAGTCAGATCTGTATATAGCAAGTCCTTTGCGGTTAGGAGACAGATAATCATGCTTTCTGCCATTTGGTACTGGGAGCCAGAATCTTTCATTCTTTTATTTTTGTACAAATCTCTATCATGTTAACAAGCAGTACTGGTCCCTAGCATGTCTTTCGTGAAGGAACACTAGCTGTTTCTAGGAGCAAAAGTATAGCTGTTCCCATTTTCAGTATTAACTGCATATAACAAATGCCAGTTTATTTTTTAATTGGCGGGAGTATTAACAGTTTGCTTTACTTACTAAAAGAAATCAGTATGGAATCTGGTAGTGAAAAGCAATAATGATCCTTGCTTCGGTCAGGTGAAATATTTTTCGGCAGAGTTCACATGAGCATTAAGGTGATTGTTCAAGGCTGAATAGGATTTTGTTTGGAATTATGTCACCTAAGCTCAAGAAAGACAATGAGGTATGTTTTTCAGTTTGTCTAAGATACTGAGAGTAGATTTGGTGATCCAAATGGTCTTTAGCAGGCTTACTTCCTCTTTTTCCAGTGTTCTCAATAGTCCACTGTAAAAACTGGAAATTGAGATTTTTCACAAGTGTGCCCTTTCTTTTATTCTAGCAACTGTGTCTTTCAGAAGCCCTGCCTAGAAGAAGTCCTCCTGATTAACAACTCACACTGAGTTTAGGAGAGACGATATTACAGGATGCAGGCGAGAGCTGCTTAGGAGATTGGTAAATATAAGTTCATGGGAGTTATGGAAATAAAGGGTGTATCCAAATATTAGTATGCTGTTTTAACTGGTCCTGCCACAGCTTACATTCACTGTTTTTTGAGTAGGCGTTAAAATGTTTTCCATCACCATTGAATCTGCTGTAGTTAGTGGAGAAGTGAGTTTCTGGAGTAGTCATATATGCTTACACGGCGCTCGCTCAACCAAGGCAGTAAGTGGTGACAAGAGTTGCTGCAGAGTGAAGAAACAGACCCGTGATTTTACAGGGCCTCTTTGTTTGGGTTTGAACTTGGCTATCTTTGCTCTTTCTGACTTACACTCATGCATCATCAGGATTTGTAAATCTGATTTCGTGTTTCTTAAACTGTTTGCAAGCATAGTCTCCTTTGAGCTCATCTGTTTCACGCAGCATCCTTCACCTTTGCCTTTAATTGCTGTCTGTGAGTGCTTACTGTAATGATTCACAGTTTTTCCAGGAACTAGGTGCGAGAACTATCAGTATTAGTGAGCAGTTCCCGGCATTACAGGAGTTTCCTATTTCCTTGTTGAGGGGCCCCTCTTGCCCTCTATGAATTTTTCCTTGAACTCCTCAGAAGGTTATGAACAAAAATTGGAGAAGTGCCAGAATATACTAGTTCATAAATAGTGAGAAGATTTGCAATCAGTGTCAAAATGGATTGAAAGTATCTATATAGAAAAAATAAATTAATAGATGAATTGTGTATATTTTAATTAGCAGGTTCCTGTCTAATAGCTCACAAATAATTCACTTAAAATGTATGGTGTCAAGAATGTAATGGTCTCAAAAATCGGTTACAGAATAATAATTTGTATTACTACTTGAATTTTAATCAATCCATCAAGTGCAATCACATTCGTGTGCTTTACCTCATCATAGCCTGGCATCCCCAATCACTAGATGCTTATTATGGTATAACTTATTTTTCTAATTCATAAATGTGAATTCAATATCTGTTTTTTACACAATCTAGATACCGTGGAGAAGGGATAATTAAGGAAGTCCCTAGTAAAATTATTCCTTTTATGTATCTTCCTGAATATCGAAACAAATGGGACAAGGCATTACAATCTTACAAGCTGTTAGAAAGGATTGACCAGGTAATACGATAATTTAATACAAAGATTTTATTTTAGCTCTTTCTGCATGAATTATGGTGACTAAAAAGACCTCTACTGGGACAAAGAAAGCTTTCAATACGAAATACGTTCTGGGTTGGTTAAAACTTCTAAACCTGCTGCTTATGTGAAATGGGTATGAAATGTGCCCCTCCCCTTAGGAGTTAAATATTTATTGTGAAATAAATGTCCTCAAGCATGCCAAGAATTCAGTCCATGGGAAACAACAGAAGTCTCCATCAAGAGTAGGGTGAGACACAATCACAACAGCCTCCCTCTCACAGTAAGCATGGATTGCACAAATTAAAAAAAAAAAAAAAAATCACCAAAGTCAAGGGCAGCATGGAGATTGAATTGATGCTGTACTAGTGCTGTGAAATACTGTGTGTTCTGAATTCCAGTTGTTCGGGACTTTGTCTTAGGCACTCTGGAAACCCAGAACTCAGAACTCCTATGAAGAATATCAGTTCTGTGTTAGCTGGCTTTGATCTAACCACTTGAGAGAGATGGCCCTGTGTATGATGGAGAGAGGTCTCAGAACATATTACACATGTATGAATGACTCAAGTATATAAAAATATTCCCTAATCCAGGAAAAAAAAATCCTCCCCTTTTTGTCTTCCCTGAACCTCTCTCTCACTTTCCTCTGCCTGGATCTGCTAGAGTGTTGTGGTTTAACCCGGCAGACAGCCAAACACCACACAGCTGCTCGTTCACTCCCCTGCCCCGCAGCGAGATGGGGGAGAGAATCAGGGAGGCGGGGGGGGGAGGGAAGTAAAATTCGTGGATTGAGAGAAAGACAGTTTAGTAGAACAGAAAAGGAAGGGACAATTATAATAATAATGATAGAGTATACAAAATGAATGATGCACAATGCAGTTGCTCACCATTCGCTGAGCAATGCCCAAACAGTGATTGCTACTTCCTGGACCATGCCTCTTATTTATATACTGAGCATGACGTCATATAGTATGGAATACCCCCTTGGCCAGCTGGGTCAGCTGTCCCGGCTATGCTCCCTCTTGTGCACTTGGCAGAGCGTGGGAAGCTGACTAGCAGGGTATGTAGCAACAACTAAAACATCAACATTCTTCTCATACTAAATCCAAAACACAGCACTAGGAAGAAATGTAACTCTATCCCAGCTGAAACCAGGACATAGATTTGCTCAGATGTTAGGATGTAGTGGTACATCCAACCGTATCTTCTTTGCTTTTTTTGGAATTGATTTAGTTTAACAGATTATACATATTTGTCCTAGAACACAATGTGCAATCTAGCATGTGTATATTAATGCAGATAGGCATTCTGGTTCCACTAAATGTGGATACTAAATGTGCATATTCTGAGTTTTTCCGCAGAGAAACTATATTCCTGCCTCAAATCTAGGCCACAGGGAATGGCAGTGAATCCCTACCCTGTATTACTGGAAGATCCCTTTCACGGCTCTCATGATAGTTCAGCCCTAACTAGATATGGGAACTGTCATCTTATGCTAAAAATAGGAATCCATTTTTGCCACATTCTCATTATTCAACATGTAATACTGCTTTGCCGATTAAATAAAACTTAGCTTCTTGCATATTAATTCAAAAAATTACTTTTACTTACTTGTAGGACACTGGTATATACCACAGTGTAACACACAGTTATGGTATGGGACTGATTTCATCAAGAGATTTTGTTGACCTGTTGCATGTTAAACCATATCCTGGTGATATCCTTACAACTAACTGTAAGTTGCACGTAACTACTGCATGTTTTCATATTTTGGCTGCATTCTGGAAATCCTAAGGTGAATAGCTGTAGAGTAAGTTCTGCAGCCTAATCGCGGTATAGAGTACCTGGCTCTGTGCGTTAACTGATGTTAACAGTTTCCTCCTGTTTATCCCCAAAACAAAGCTGTTTTTCTTAATACTGAAACTATCAAAATTGATCTTCAACGAAAATACTGTGTTGTTTAGTCTCCTATTATGCCTCTATTTGAGAAATTGAAAAAAATGTAGTAGTATGAGGAAGCTAGAATTTATTATTTTACTATATAAATCCAGCATTTATTTAATGACACTTTGCTGTACTTAGGTGGCTTCCTAACCAAGTGCTACTTACCTAATATGCTGTTCTCAGAGTGAACTTGCTAATTTGCTCCGTATTTGATTCTCTTTGAACTCTGTGAACTTATACAAAATGTAAAATGATTAATATTACAACTATATGGCCAGCCAGGAAAATACCTCACTGCTACTTCATTTCTGTGCTAATCTTTTTCCTTTGTGTGGATCTTAGTACGTGGCAGAAAACATTTTTCATCTTGGAACTTTACTGACCGATCAGTTTTTTTCAAGCCATACTCTGAAAATACATGCAAAAGTAATGGATAACTAACCAAAACAACCCCTCCTAACTACTACTGTGCATGTGTGCAGCAGTTTCCTCATCTTCTCTGCAATTGCATTTACTAATTAATGACATCTGCTGACAAACTGACTTCTTTGTCCAGAACTAAGCCACACCTCAACACTTACGTATGTGTAATCACATCTCAAGGATAATACTTTTGGGTGTACCTGCCCAAACATCTATAGAAACTTTTACATGTACCTTTACTTGCACAAATATTTAATGTTCTTTAGGTGTTTTGTGTACAGAGTGGAATCGCTAAGCACATCAATGACCATATTGCGAGATCTTGTACTATCCCATAGTAGCTGGAGTAGTTTCTTGTTTTTAAAAGGTATTTTTGAGTCGTATGATTGACATATATAAACATAATTAATTTGATTTTGCTTTTTGTGTGTGGTGACTTATAGCTGTCAGTGTGGAATACTCCAACTGCCCTGCAACTCCCTCTTGTGTCCGAGGCTATAACAATCCCTGTGGGTATGTGTGTTCACCTTTGCCCGAGTAAGTATTTAAAGCCCCCTTATATTAGCATCTTTGGTTACTGAGTTGTCTTCTCTATACGAAGCTTAAAATTTACTGAACCACACAGCTTTTTTCTTAAATTTTATTTAGACAGTTTTATTCTGGGGAAACTTTAGAGTTTTGTTTTGTGATCAGTTTTGTGACTCAGACGATCTTTTGAAACAATTGAAACTTTTGTACATCTTCCACTTTTCCATCAATAATTTCAACAGAGATGAACTATAAATTGTAAACATTTGTACATCTCAGTGAGTTTCATAGCAAGAGTAACAAGTGTTAACTGAAGGATTTTGCTCCTTTCATCACAGGAATCCAGAGCATTCTAAGCTAGTTGTATTTATTCAGCCAGAACTAGGAGGAATGCTTCCAGTTTCTGTAGTGGAGACAGCATTACCTACTACTCTCATAAATTTAATCACTGAAACAAGAGCTGGACTGAAAGGCTTGAAAGACTGTAATTAAATGTAAGTGGAAAATAATAAGCACTTAAGTCACATGCATCTTTTACTTGGATTCATTTTTAAAGTAGGTGATGAAGTTTATTTTAATTGTGGTTTATGTGGAAATGTATAAAGCTTAACTTAACTGTTAAAATGGTGAATGCTGGTTTTCTCTGTTCTTGGGAATGATGCAACAATTTACACTGAAGTGCCCTCAAAGTACAGGATGTCGCTTTCAATGTAATCAGGTGATGTTTTGTAATATTTTTGCACTTTATATGCAGAGAATATATATATATATATATGAGAGAATCTGGTGATATAAATTATAGCAGTGTTAAAATACAGTAGTCAAATATTTTGCCATAGCTTTAAACACACTTTGATAAATTCTTACCTCAATTATGTGCTCTTGACTGAAACAAGCAAACATCTTGTGTACTGGAGACTTTAAACATGTTTATTAACTATAAGTGTGCGAGGGTAATTAGCAACTATTTCACTGTTTTGGAATTAAATATTTGAAGAAAAGCCTGATTAATTTGTATATAGCATCTCATTAAAAGCTGCTCTTTATACACAGAGTTGTTTGTCATTTTCTGAATCCTGAGCACCAAACCTAAATAATTTTTATATGCTGACTAATTTCCAGGAACAAGCTTGTGATATCATTCATTTGGAATTACTGTTTCCTGTGACCCCATAGTATTTCTAGTACCTTTAGTTACGAGTTAACTGCAGGAAAGAAAAAAAAAGAGTGATAATGAATAGCAATTTCCATTACAAATCACAGAAACAGTGGTGGAAATTAAAGAATAGCGTGAAAATTGCTTTCATCTTCTCTGCTCAGTGCCCTCCCAAGTTGTTAGTAACTGCATACATAGTATAATTCAATGAAAATTAAAAGTAAAAATTCCTTCCCCCAGTCAGCGTGTTAAGGTATTAATAGTAAATATTAAATGTTTGCATACTCTAAGAAAGAAAAATAAGACAGACTAATTACTACTTAAACAGAGTCACCAGCAGGTTTTATGTCAAAAGTTGTCAAAATACACATTTAATATTCACATCTTTACAATTTACAGTAAACTTTTCATAACTAAAGTGCCTTCAAGTGCTGATTCTTATAGTGCCACTATTATGAAAAATGTTTCACTGTGGTTTAAAATATCTTAGCAAACTGTTAGACTGTGATAAACATGGTGCTGTATTCCTTCTTCCTTTATTTGTTTTAGGCTTTTCAGGGGGTTTATCCATAGAAGTTTTGGACACAGGTTCCTGATTCTTCCATTCAGCTAGCAGTTCTTCTTGCACATCTGCAGGTAGTTCATAAAAAGTCTTTCTGTCAACATTAGGAGGAAATACAATTCCCGCTTGCGTACTGTCAGTTTTATCCTCAGAAGGTGTTTCAAAGGCCTGCTTATCTTCATCCAAGACAGGGACAGTTAGAACAGTTCGGCTGGCTCCAGCTTCCAGAGATAACAGGTCTCTCACTCTGAAGCTCAGAGAGTCAGGAGGTTGTTTTTCCATACTGCTGCTGATCAGTGCACTTCCGAGACACTCAGAAGAACAACTGGCCCGGGAGCTGTGTGCCAGAACAGTTGCCGATTCGTGAGCTGACGCGAGATGTATGCTACACCCTGCAGAGTGCATATCACTGTTTAGTCCCTTAGAATTTGGGGAAGCGCAGTATGCCTCTCCTGCAAAACATACTGATGGCTGACCCGAAACATTCTCAGTAGGGATCATGTCTGTTTTTTCAGAAATAATTTCTTTTTGAATATCTTCCGGAAGTTCCCTGAAGACTTCCTGGTCAATATCACCAGGAGACAAATGAAATAGAAAGTCAGGAATTCCTGCTTTTTTTATATTGCTTTTCTTTTCCTCTGAAAGTTTCCTGGTTTTTGTAGTTCCAGTCCTGTTGCTGTTCTGGTTCCAAAAAGCACCTCCCTCACCTTTTGAGACATCTTCCACTTTCTGTGGCAAAAAATGTATGTAAAAGCATAAGTAAGTTCTGTGTAATCTGCTAGTTACCAAGCACTATTTTACTAACAGCAAGTTCTTCAAATTATTCTGTAACAGAGTAAGTTTTTTTTCCTTATCATCGGTAGTGTTTTTTTAAATCTTATTTTCAAACATAGACCTTAAAAAGTACATACACGTAGGAATTCTTTTCTTATTTTAAAGTAGCAAATACTTTGAAGTTACATTTTATTGCTTTAAAACTCTGTGGAACTTTAGAATACACGGTATGATGTTATCCCTCATATTCCTGAGCAGTTGAGAAACAGACAAGTTTATCAATACACAAAATTGCTATGTCAAGACAAAAACAGTAAATTCATTACACAACATAATTTTGAAGTTACTAAGTTTTTGTATTATGTTCTGAAAGCATCTTGTGGAAATACGTAGCAGTGTTTCCACAGACAGCTCCTACACTACAGCATATGCAGTTGGGAGGTAGGAGATTATTTGAGTTCCGAGCAGGCATTAGAATCTCACTAGATCAGAAGCTAGTGCTAGTGGCCCATACAGAATTGAATCTTTGATTACTTTCTAGTCTGAACAGGGAGACTTGAGAATGCACAGGAAGAAAATAATCACTGTGAAAGCATCTCAATAAAAGCAACAAGGTAAATTATATGCAACTTTAAGGAGATTTTAGTCTAAGATAAAAGATGCTTCAGTATGACAATATCCGAGTAAGTGGCCTGTTGCTTCACAAATGCTAAATAAAGGGCAGATTTACTGGAATGAACAGTCAAATTCAGCAAGTATTTTTTAGAAGACGTAAGTTTGGATTTCTCCCTTGGTGAATTCTGTCCTCTTCAGTTAAGGGGCTTGATAACCTAGCTGGCTGTCCCAGATTCAAGACGGTATTAAACCTCTTTGAAGCAGCCTATCTAATGAAAGAAAGCAAGCAAGCAACACCTGCTCAGAAGACTCCAAATAAATCTTCATTTTTACCAGGTGAATAAAACTTATGATCCTAAAAATTCCAAAGCAGTTAAGGTTCAAATCTGTATAATAAAGACAGAAATGCCTCAGAACTTTCTTATCTGCAGGTAGTTTTCAGTATCTTTCAGCTTACCCGGACACGTTTACCAGAGCCTGATGGTGGTGACATCTGCTTTAGATAGAAACCAATTGATCCTTTCTTGCTGCTAGGAAGATCTTTGAGGTTGGAGAAGCAGACACTCAGAAGGGTAAGATGAAATGGTAGATCTACATCTATCATCTTTCGAAAGAGTTTCATTAGTATATCAACCAATGGGGATATAACGTTGCTGCTTTCTAACAGAAAAAAGGTTAGAAAAAAGCAATGTATATAATCAAGATTAACCGACTGAGTAAGATTGATTTAAGTAGCAAAGTACAAAGGCAAACACTACTAAAGGCTGCCAAAATAATCTGTCAATATAGTCGTTAACATGTTCACTCTGCCCTGTCCTGAATGTCCTGAATTGAATAACAGACTTTTTTTTTCCCCTCCAGTAAAAATGCTTAATTTCACACCTGTGAAGATTACTTTATAGTATGTACTTAGGTTAGAAAAGAATTACAGAATACAAGCCAAGCTGAATAGATATGAGAAACGATCTAATTCTACCAAAAAGGGCCTTTACAGGGCCATGTAGATATATAACATTACCCCAACACTGGTAATAACAACATGGTTTATTGGAGTTTGCATGACTATATGAGCTGAGAGTAATTGTTAGTCTCCTCCAATGTGGAAGTCCAGTAGCAGTTTTGAAGTGAGAAGCTACACAGACTTTCAATAGCTTCTCTAGGACTGTGAGAAGTAATTCAGGAATTGAAGTCAGGAACAGTGATTCTGTGTGCTGACGCAGCAGTGATTCAGATTTATTTCCTCACCCCAATCTGAATGAAGTGTCAAGTGAATTGCAATTGCTGGTTGGAAAGCTTAAGTCTGAGAAGGATGAAAGCCTTTATGTTATTAATTTTCAGAGGTACATCAAAAAGACATTTTATTACATACTAAAACTGAGAACATAATTTAAATCCCTAATAGAGAAAAGCAGATTATTAATCTGGGAAGCAGCCCCCAGTCACCCTTTCCCGCCCCACCAAGAAATTTACTGCCACGAATCCAGCCAGACTGGGTTAAAACATGGTACTAAAATAGAAGTTATTCCTACAGTGAAGTTCTATACGGTTTTAGCATATCTTATCAAGATACATCCATTACAGCAATGGACAAGTTTCCAAATATTAAATGTATAGAATATTATCATGAAATTAAGTAATGGAATTTTACAGAGAAGTTAGGTGGTAGCAGCACAAAGTTGGTACTTTCAAAAATTCTAAGTTTACCTTTTCCAAACTTCTGAATGAGATGAGGTGGAATAGGACACTGACGACTTTCCCGATTAAACCATTTATTGGTTGAGGAGAACTGGCGTATGGTCAATCTTACTGTGTGGGGTTGTCTTCCATCTTTGTATATTCTAAGGAGCATTAACGTGCACAAAGCAATAAGCATTACGATGAATATTTTTCAGAGTGTCTGTGGAAACTTTCACAGCATCTAGGTTACATAGTCACTTAAATTAAGCATTACAGATCTCTTCTGGCTTTACTCCACTGATTATATGGGGAACTTTGGGTCCTATCTGGTTCCCTTAATTATGCATGAGTTAGAAGTTCAATACAATGTGAATACTGCATACTGCAGACTCTCCAAGAGTCTTCAACTGAAGTGAATGTGAAAATTAAGTGGGTCAGTCTGCAATACTGCCACGTTTCAATATTTAATACATTTAAAGTAGTACAGTCTTTATACAGTTACACCCTGTATAATCCTCAGCTTTTAGCTCTTCTTTTTGCTTTTCAAGGAAACATCCCCATGTTAGCAGCTGGATTTTGGATGAAGGGTAAGAAACAAAGTATGTCATTGTTTCTTTCCGCCTTCAAAAGGCATGGGGGGGTACTTTCCCTA